TTTTAAGCTTCTCTTGCACCTGTCTCTTTTTCTCCATTCCCATAGCTACTTAGTTCCGATCTCATCAGTCACCTGGATCACTGCAAGACGTTAAACTAGACTGCAGTTCCCGCTTTTGAATACTCAAAAGGTCAGGGAAAGTCTAAGATTACAATTAAGAATATGAGAAACCACACACATGAAGATCTGGGAGAACAGTGTCATGCAGCAGGAGGAGCCAGTGCAAAGGTCCTGTGGCCAGAACAATACAGCAAGCTAGAAGAACAGAAAGGACAGAATAGCCGGAGTATAAGAAGCCGGGAAGAGGGCCGTACGGGGAGATGAAGTGGAAGAAGAAATCAGAGAGCAGACCATGCACTGCCTTGCAGACCGCTGAAAACGTATGGATTTTAGCCTAAGTGTATTCGAAAGCACATGTGATTCTAAAAGATAGCTGTTGTGTGAAGGACGTTGGGAGGCGAGAAGAGCAGTTAGAAGCTTGCAACAGTCTGGACGAAACATGGCAGCCTGAACTACATAGTAGCAGTGGAGGTGGAGGGAAGAGAACGGATTTAGAATACATTTTGGAGGTGGAACGGCAGAGCTTGCTGTTGGAACAGATATGGGCAAGTGAGAAAGGGAGGAGCTCCAAGAAATTCCTAGAAAGTTACTGGGGTGGTAAGTTACCCAGAGTAACTGGGTAAGAAACAGGTTGGGGCACAAGGTGGGTGCTATTTGCGAGGCTAGTACCCAGCTCTCATCCTTTCAAGGGGAGAGACGGCCGTGAGCTGCCGGGCAATCCAATCTGGAGCGTCTCACAGTCTCAAGTACCTGCTTGGATGGGCTCACGGAGAGCTCGACGGCCACCGTTACATTTTCTTTATCCGACGCGATGGCGCAGCTCACGGAATGCCACTCCTCCACGCGCTGCAGAAGGGGAGCCCGGTGAGCGCGATCCCTCTCCGCGCGGAAAAGCTGCTGCTTGAACACGCAGCGCACAGGGCCCCTTACGGCCCCGGGACAGGGGATGTGAGCCGTTTCACCGCTCACCTTGGCGGAAGCCAAGCCGCGGCCTTGGCAAACGTGACCCGGTGAAGAGGCTGAGGGCGTCGGGGCCGCCCGGCAAGTGATTTCGCCGGGAGCCCCGGGAAAGGGGAATCCGGGCCTCTCTCGTCACCCGCTCCAGGCCCTCCTCCCTCCCTTGGCCTCTCGGGACCGCCGGGCTCACCTGAATCGGATCGCTCCCACAAGCGTGCTCCTGACTCTGGGTGCACACGGTGCGAGCCTGAAACGAGAGCCATCCCCGCAACGCCTGAGGAGGCGAAATCGCCGTAGGAGTCCGCCCTCCGCCCGCTCCCGCGAGTCCGTGGTAACACGCGTGCGCGCGGCTGGGCGCTAGGACCCGGCGCGCAGGCGGGCGGGCGGGCGCGTCTGCGTCAGCGTCAGCGTCGGCGGCTGCGCCCGGAAGAGGAAGTCTCGCGGTGTTTCCATTTGAATCGTTTGGCGGGTGAGAGCTATGGCGGCATCGCTCCAGCCACCCGGGAACCGGCTTTTACGAACTTATGGGGCCGCGGGCGGCGGGGGGCCGCGGTGGCGGTCGGGCCGCGCTGGCGCACAGTGGTTCGCGCCTCAAGACCCAAAGCGTGTCTTCAGCAGCACCAGTAGCAGCGACGACCCCTCGCAGTCTGTCTCTTCCGACGATTCTGAAGACCCCGACTTCTCCTGCAGCCAGGTGGGTCAGCGGCCGAGGCGAGCTGGCGGTCGAATCTCCAAGGCCCGGCCGAGCCTGATGGTGACCCCAAGACGCCTGAGGCTGCGAGCTCGGCCCCCGCGGAAATGCAGCACCCCCTGCAACTCACTCGAATCGCCGTCCTTCCCCAGCAGCAGCCCGGGCCGCCTCAGCCCGGGCCTCAGTGTGTGCAGCCAGCCCGGGGACGGCGGCGAGCTGGGCACCAGCGCCTCCCTGTTTAGCTTACCGGCCTCTCCGGCCCCCTGCCTGGGGTCCCCAGCGCCAGGAGACAGTGTCATCGGTACTGGCCCCTCCGCCTCTCTGGAACCCACCTCTGTGGACCACGCACCTCATTCCTGCTCCCAGGAGCCAGCAACGGGAGGAGGCAGGTTCACCAGGTTGGCCCACCAAGCTCGTGCCACCCTCAGGTCAGCTCCCTTTAGCCTTGGGGACTCAGGAAACCCTGAGGATTCTGACTTTAGCACCGATGGGAAGAATATGAGGGAGCCCTGCTGTGAAAGGGAACTGATGGGGAAGATGCTGGAGAGCCCAGGTTTGTCAAGCATCCGAAAGAAGAGGGCCACAGGCCAGGATTCCTGTCAAGAGATTGGGGCTCAAGGGGCTGTCCAGACAGAATATGAGGAGGCTAACGGTTGCAAGGGCTGTACTGTATCTGGGAAAATCAACAGGCGTGAGAGAACTGGGCCAAGCCAGAAAAGGAGACATCAGAAGGCAGTAGAAACCTCCCTCCTCCATTACCACCAGTTTAAAAAGGGCGAAAAGATGGGAAGAGATTCATTTCTAATCCAGGACCTGACTCATTTACAGAATGACTGCTCTTGGACCAAAGCCAGGGCTTCCTTCAGTTTCCACAAGAAGAAGATCGTGACTGCTGTGTCAGAAGTGTGCAGCAGCTATGCCGCTGCCAGTTCTCCCTCTGGGTCCCTTGTATCAGAATATTCAAACCCTCCTGTCATGAATGGAACAAACAGTGCTCAGTCCCCTTGGCACTCTTCTTCCATGTACTTGCTAAGCCCCTTAAAGACCCTACATGTCGCGGACCAAAAGGCATCTGATGCTGAAAAGGTTTATAGGGAATGCAACCAGGAGGGTCCTGTCCCCTTTAGCTCTTGCCTTTCCACGGAAAAACTGGAATGCTGTGAGAAGATTGGGGAAGGAGTGTTCGGTGAAGTGTTTCGAACAATTGCTAATTGTACACCTGTAGCCCTAAAAATCATTGCTATTGAAGGGCCAGATTTAATCAATGGAGCCCATCAGAAAACTTTTGAGGAAATCCTTCCGGAGATCATCATCTCCAAAGAGTTGAGCCTCTTGTCTGATGAGGTATGCAACCGCACAGAAGGCTTTATTGGGCTGAACTCAGTGCACTGTGTTCAAGGACCTTACCCTCCCTTGCTCCTCAAAGCCTGGGATCACTATAACTCAACCAAAGGGTCTGCAAATGACCGGCCTGACTTTTTTAAGGAAGACCAGCTCTTCATTGTGCTCGAATTTGAGTTTGGAGGGATTGACTTAGAGCAAATGAGAAAGCAGTTGTCCTCCATAGCTACTGCAAAGAGCATTCTACACCAGATCACCGCATCCCTCGCCGTGGCAGAGGCATCACTGCACTTTGAGCACCGAGACTTACACTGGGGGAATGTGCTCTTAAAGAAAACCAGCCTCAAAGAAGTCCACTACACCCTCAACGGGAAGACAGGTACCATCCCCACCCGTGGGGTGCAAGTCAACATCATTGACTACACCCTGTCACGTTTGGAGCGGGATGGGATCGTGGTTTTCTGTGACATCTCCATGGATGAGGACCTGTTTACAGGTGAAGGTGACTACCAGTTTGAGATCTACAGGCTAATGAGGAAGGAGAGCAGCAACCGCTGGGGCGAGTATCACCCATATAGTAACGTGCTCTGGCTACATTACCTCACAGATAAGGTTCTGAAAGAAATGACCTTCAAGACTAAATGTAACACGCCTGCCATGAAGCAAACGAAGAAAAAGATCCTGCATTTCCATAGGACAATGCTGAACTTCAGCTCTGCCACTGACCTGCTCTGCCGGCACAGTCTATTTAAGTAAGTCAGAGGTGCCTTACCCACCCCAAATGCAAAGGCCGCTGGCCTTGAAAAAGCCCCTAGTGCGGTTTTCAGTCTCTATCCCCAGAGGAGGGTGAAATTCCCATTCTAATCAGCTTTTCAAACAAGAATTTTGTTTCCAAGTGGAAACAGAAATATTTGTGGAAATATTTAAACAAGTGTTCTATGAAAATAAACTACACATGACAGCAAGTGTTTACAAACTATAAGCCCTCTTTCTGTCAGCAGAGTCTATTCTATGGGTTTCTTTCCATAGTTTCGTTTTTGAGCCTTGACACTTTATATAGCCTAGGGGGGGAAAAAGTCAGGAAAGCCCAAGGCCTCAGCGCTGTCATACTGATCAGAGCTTATAGGTATCATCAGGCTGGCAAGAAGCTGTAGCAAAGTAGAGACCAAGACAGACGGGGGGGGGGG